GCACTCCCGACACCGTATCGAACAGAAATCCGCTTTCCACCGAAGTGGTTAGGTTAAAGCTGTCGCACGCATATTTCGGCGCGCAAAAGTCTGTGCGGCGTTGCTGATCGATACTGCCACCGGTCACACCAAGAGAGAAATACGACTTGATTCATTTTCTGGTGCTTTCACTCCCAGAGACAGTTGTAAGCACTGTGTAACTGCCTCGAGGGTGCTTGACCATTTTAACACAACCTGGTGCGATCATCCCCTTCGCGCGGAGTGAGGGTTTTCCACCCCGCACAACATGATCTACTCGACCACCATTCATTATGGTTACCGCCAACAAAAAACAGAGGTAAAAAAACAAAATACGGTAACCTGGTTGCCGACTTCACGAAATGAATTGGCTTGTTTTACAACGTCGTTGCCAAGCGACGAAAACCCAACCAGGATGGCAAACACCGGGGGTAGTGATGGGAGCGGGAACAATTGTGGCAACACCACCCACTCCACGCGGCCGATAAGAGCACACTTACTCTGCCTTCCCCCCCACGCAAAAAGCAGAAACTCCGAGTAATGTTTTCCATTACTAATCGTTCAATTGCAAGATTTGGGTCAGCTAAGTTTTTATGTTCCACAGCAGCAACAACATATATACGAAGTTTTTAGGATTATTTAGTGCTGAGCGCGCAATTCTTTGCAGTAGAGATTTTTTATGTAATAATACTATATTCGACCACTATTAGTATATATTTTTAGGAGACAGACGTACGTACGTGTTGTCGTATTGACTTTTACAGAGAGAGGCAGCGTATGTATATATAGTATATCATCGCCTATTTTTACGATGTAAGTGACAGTAGAAATAAGTCCTACATGTGTTGTTGTACTTCGTATGGGTTTAATATGTATGTAGAGTATGAGACATGAAGTGAAAGTTTTCTGAGGTACACCTGCAATTAATTGTCGGAAGGCAAAAAAAAAATATATATATACTTCAAGTATATATATACTTCTATAATATATCATCGCCTACTCTCTCTCTTTTTCTCAGTCCTTGCTTTGCCCCCCGATCGTTGCTTGCTGTGCGTGCGTGTTTCTAGGCAGCAATATATATATCAATATCAAATAGAGTAGGCCCATGTCTATGTTGCTTCCGGCAATACATCATGATCAGAAGATAAAGATGGTGCTCGCACTTAAGAACTTGGCAGTTAAGAAATGCGGCCTCGAAAAAAATCAAAATCAAGGAAATCGACCACATAAAAATAATTTCAACACGTGCGTGCTCAGGCCTGAAGTGGTAAGAACAAGAACGAACCTGCCTTTCTTTGTGGTGTAACAACAGAGGACCCAAAACGCGACAACTGCAAGACAATTAGTACTCACGAAGGGGTGAGGGGCTACTCGCGGGGTGACCGGTGGGCAGTTAGTTGCAGATCAGCGGCGAGGAGGAGGTTCCTTTGAAAATAGTGCTGGTGGTGCGGAGATGGGGGGGGTGTACCGTTGGTAGTCAACTATAAAATCGGGCTTACAAATACCGGCACTCTTGAAGCTTTTTTTTTGTTTACTGCCGCGAATGTCCGATAAATCGGTGTGTCGTGTACTCTGTGGACACCGGCTGGTACATAGTTTTCGCGGCAAGGCATGGACATTCTCGGGCTTGGACAGCCTCGCCTGCAACCAAGCACAGATACAAATGTCCCTTTATTAACTGGGTTTGGGCCGGCGTTTCCGAACCCTGCCTGACCTTGGAGGTTGGCAACGGTGCACCCGACCGGGTTACGCAGGTTGTACAACGCCTAGGGG